TGCTGTTCCTGTATTGCTGCCATCAAATCTGTTAAGCTGTAGTTTGATTTGCCACCTCTCGTTTCCATCTTCTTCTTTTTTATTTAAATTTACGTCCCACTCTCTGACACCAATTTGTTAAGTCTGTGTTCGTTTGTTAATTTTCCGTAGAAATTCTTTCCGAGAAACTTTAGCGATACAAGTCCTTTCTTAAATAAAACTAGTTTATTCTTTCTCAGTTCAACTTTGCAATACACTTAATTTCTACAGTCACTTTAACTATGCTATAATTCACAACGATTCACGCACTTTACTTACGGAGCCCGATTGACTCGATTATCGTGTCTATATCTTCAATCTCTCTATCTGCAACTATATTCTCGCCGTCGCTTTATTTGCCGGCTTATATACTATAAAAGCGCACATCTAGATTGCACTCGCCTCTTCTTGAATTTTATAGATACTCATCACGTGTTACCAGAGTCACGTGACTTCCGCTGTCGTAACAGTATATTAAACTTATTCCTTGTTCTGTATATATTCAGGTTTCACATAACACATGGCCGAGAAAGCAATTAAGTTGATTTCATTCTAAGTTATATTTTCAGTGTTTTAATTTAGGTATTTGTTTGCCAGAGAGAGCTAGTCCTTACATCATGGTCTAGAAGCTTCCTTTATTAATTACAAAGTAATAATATAAATGTCAGTTAGTGAATTAGTTATTCAGTGAAGTAAAGCAGTGGGTTATTGATTGAGTTAGGTCAGTACCAATCAGAGTTATTGCATGTGTGATGCGATGCAGTTAGAGTTAAATGATAAGGATTAGTGCTTTTGTGACAGAAATACGATAACTATAAGTAACCCAAACATATGATAGTTTTCAGAAGTTCTTGTAAACGTTATTTGAAAATTGAACTGTTGTATTTGAAGTTAAGTCTACTAGTAAGCCTACCTTATCTACTAATTACATCTTGGTGGGCTGGAGTATAAGCATCTTTGTTATACAAGATCATTGTGTACTGATGACATCTTTGTTGTGGTAGGTTGGAGTACATGAACCTTTGTTATACAAGATCGTTGTGTACTGATGACATCTTTGTTGTGGTGGGTTGGAGTACATGAACCCTTGTTATACAAGATCGTTGTGTACTGATGACATCTTTGTTGTGGTGGGTTGGAGTACATGAACCCTTGTTATACAAGATCGTTGTGTACTGATGACATCTTTGTTGTGGGGGGTTGGAGTACATGAACCCTTGTTATACAAGATCGTTGGGTACTGCTGACATCTATGTTGTGACGGGCTGGAGTTCAATAACCTTTGTTATACAATATTACTGATTACTTTTTTCTAGATCGTATGAGTTGCTTATAAGCAGAAAGAAGTGATCCTGTCCTTACAACACGGCCAGGTATGGCCAGGTGGTTAAGGCACTCGACTCGCAATCTGAGGGTCGCGGGTTCGAATCCCACTCAAACCAAACATGCTCGCCCTTTCAGCCGTGGGGCGTTATAATGTGACGGTCAA